TCATGATAATGCATACTGCATACATCTTTTTAGTTTTTGTCTTCTCAAGATTCCATGGAATAAAATGTAGCAAATTTTTTAACCTAGTCAGATTGAGAAGATCTGCGGCTGAAATTCCTCATATGTTCATACCTATTCTACATAAATTTCCAAATAATGATATAGCTAGAACGCTGGGATCAGTAGATATATACTACTCCAGTACTCCCCATGATAATTAAAAAAAAAAAAAAAAGTTTAAAGAATGCATAAAAATATGTTCGTTGTGGAAACACACCCTTTTCTTGGACAATGTATCAATGGGTGACATGACCTCCGGCTGCACATAGTTCTTTCCTCTGTAGAATATAGCTGTGTCATCTCCGATTATTTGTATTCCTATCCCACCACTCAATCTTTCTATTTCTTGCACATATTCATGAATTTGGCCTGGTTTACAAGGCTTAAAGATGACTTTTATTGTTTCATGTTTCTTCCAATGCATATGCATGTTGAGAATGACACCACCGAAAACACCTCTTCTACCAACAGGAACATAATTAGACCTTTTCTGAGCCATCTTCTTAAAATAGAACTTCTCCTCGCCATTAAGCTTATGTGGTTGAACAACAGGACCCTGAACCTTCGGAACTTCATACTTTTTGAGGCGTTCAATCAGTAAAGCCTCTTTGATTTTTGCCTGCAAGGGATGAAAGAAAGGAAATTATCTGTCAATGTCAAATAAAGTTAGACAATGGCCCTGTTTGGTAGTTAGCTTATTGGAGGTATATCAACTTATTTGACTAACTTTAGCTGATTGACTAGTCAAACAAGCTAATACAAGTGTTTGGTAGTAAGCTTATTGAAAGAGCTTATTCCACTAAATAAACTCTTTTTGAAAAAGCTCATTTTAGGAGCTTTTTCAATTAGCTTATTCATTAATTATTGTGAAATGACACTTATAACCTCATTTAATTTAAAATTCTATCTAAACTACCTACCCCACAATTAGCTTATTGGTCATTTCACATACTCAATCACCTTTAAGCTATCAGCTATTTATCAAACACTTTTATATAATCAGTTAATACAATAAATTAGTCAAATCAGTTAATAAAATCAGCTAGTCAAAATCAGCTAACTCAATCAGCTTCAGCTTTCTCCCAAACAGGGCCAATGAATAAGCTACTCCTGTCCAACCATGAACTTTTCCAAGACTCTAGGTGAAATGGAGTTGGGGGACCAGAGGTATGAAAGACAATACTCAGCTCTACAAGATTTGAGGAAGGGAGGATTGGAGGAGGGATAGGTAAAGGAAGAACAAAGAAAGGGCATCCAGTCAGAAAATGAACCTAGAGTGTGCAAATAAAGTGCAAGACAATGAAGATATATTTAGCCAGGTCAAAGAAACAAAGAACCACAAAATTCTTTATACCTCTTAAAATAAAGTTATACTCCGTACAACTATTATAGGATGTCCCAAACTGAAGTTCACTCTCATTTGGAGGGTTGTAGAGGTGCATGCATTCTCAAATGTGTCCCATCGATAATTGGTTGGAGTTTTGCATGCTAAGGGAAAATATATTCATTTGGGAACTCTTATTATCCACGCCAATTAGGAAGAGGAACTTCATGTTGGGGTGGAGGAAGTAGTAAAAAATGTATATTCTTTGATCTAGAAAAGCATGGGTAACCTTGTACGGTGAAAGAGGAAAAAAAGGCAAAGATATATTGAAGGAAACAGTCGTCTCTATAAATCATTAAATGAATTAACGCAAAAGGAGTCAGCCAAAAATTTACAATCACAGAAATAATAAATCATAAATTTCCAAAGCATCTGTACCACTCTGAATGAAATGGCTCTGGCTCACTGGTAGATTTATTAAACTACGGAATCTCCAGTTCTCTGACTACTTCATTTAATATTTAATGTTTAAATTGAAATTTTAAATTGATGATATACGATATGGTATAGGGCATTAGTTTGCAGTTAAAATTACAAATCTATGCGGAGTATCAATTTATTATTCAACCAATCTTCCAGGTAGAAGTCCACACCACTCAAATGACAAAGAAGTTAACAAGTAAAAAAAAGCCAATAAGCAGGGAAGTTCATATGCAGTAAAAAAAAAAAAGCATGAAAATTGAAAGAACATTAAAAAGGGCACTTCATCATCACATACTACATGCACTACAGAAACCTTTGCCAACCAATTTGATATCGATGATTGTGGACCATACTACTTAAGAGTTTCATGGTTCTTCTGAGGGATTTTATAGAAATTTTTTTACTATAAACTTTTATTTTCTTGAAAAATCCTACATGGATTTCTCTAAAAACTCAGAAGGTTATACCCACACAGAAGATACCAAAAGGAAGTATAACATGAAAAACCCTGCGCAAAAGATGCACATACCAAACAAGATTCAACAAAAAAGAACGAGAAAGACATTTGCAGAGCTTAGTACGCAATACTCGATGATAACAAGGATACCTTTTCCAGCTTATCTTTGATCCTATCCTCAACGTTAGCAAACTTTTGCTTCTTTCTCTTAACAGTGAGACGCCGTGGATCCCTCCTATTTGCTGCTTTCCTCTCTTTTTTCTCTCTCAACCTCTGCATCTTGAGCCTCTTCTTCGTCTTCCACTTGTCTTTCTTTGGAGGATCTACTTCTTGTACTTCGAATTTAGGTTTTCCTTGAGATATAACCAAATTCACTGTGCCATAACTGAGATTCCGAGAAGCTAAAAAGTGATTCGATAGGTTTGAAAAACACATTGGTCTACAAACTCTCCACATTAGTCGAGGATTATGCACTGTCAACCTGGATGGAGAAGAAAGAGGTAAGGAAATAAAGAAAGTAGTGAGTGATGCGTTTTGAAGGATGAGGGTTGAGAGGGAGAAAGTACCTAGGAGAAAGATATTCCATTTGAGAATAATTCAATAGTGACACAGAGAACCTAGCAGCCCGTCTGAGGCAGTGAAAGCAAGAACTTGCCATGTGAAAAAAGGAAAATGGACACGTCCTAATCAAGTAATCTTCCCATTCTAAAAAATGTATCACCATCTACTGCATTGTCATGTTCCAAAGCATCCCTGTACCTCCCAAACTTCTCTTGCGACCATACTACCAATATTCAGTCTGTAATCAATTACAGGATATTATGAGATACTAGAGTTTGGGTAGATTGTATAATTATGAAGTACGATATCAGCAACTGCAGTATAGCGCAGTCACCTGTTGAAGAACCAAAGTATGAATTTCATAATGAAAATAAAACCTTAATTTGCATCGAGAATGATAGGATGATCAACACACAAAACTGAATACAAAAGTGAAACACTAGAAATTCCCATGTTTCCATTTGATAAGATGTGAAGCATTATATAAACAAATTTATCTTCTGTGATTACAAAATGTTTCATATATTGTCCCACTCATCTAATATATTTAGAAATTTGAACATTTGAAGTAGCCAGTACCCTTCGATTTCTTATTAAGAATCTAAACCTGCTCAGTCCCATCTTTAATGCAGGCGGGGCGGCCGCCCTGGCCAGGGAGAAAAGTCCCATTTTGGCATTTTCATAGTTTCTAACCTAACACAAAATGGTTGAAGTGGTTCAATGGTATTGATTCCTTGCTAATCAGCACAATTCTTAACTGGGTTCATTAGTGGTGCTAAGGCTTCAAGCCAAGCCCGAATAATAGGAACAGCCGGCTCGTATTGAGCTCAACCGGGATTCGGTAGGCTCGGCTCAGGCTTAGGATCAAAGCTCAATGGGCCTAAAAACCCAATCTCATGTCAGGCTCCAATAACATCATCAAGGTTCGGGTTGTAATTTCGATTTGGCACCAAAATTGCAACACATTAGCAACCAAATTAAACACAATTATCAAATTATGCTATAAAAATCACAAATTATTCTTCTTGATTAAGAATATTAATGTAAACTGCACAAAACAAAATGCTAAAAACAAATTGTTCGTCATAATCTTTCATAGCTTCAGTAATTATAAGACCTATACTTGAATAATCTTCCGTAAATTAACTATACTGACAATAAAATTAATGAGTGTGAAACAAAACCCTAGATTGTGAAATTGACAATTCGAATTTTAAAAAGAAAAAGAAGTTACCTCAGAAGCTGGTTCGATGGAAGAGAGAAAGCTTAGAATCTGTTCCAATAGAGAGCTCAGGGTATCCTTCAATGGAAGATATGAAGCTCAGAATTAGTCCCAATGGAATAAAGAAAGTTCAGAAGCCGCAACAATGGAGAACACAGAGTATGCTACAATGAAGGAGAGATACAGGTGTGGTGCGTACATAAAAGTGAAATTCAAGGTATATTCTCTTAGGTTGAAATTCAATTCATTCCAATTCATCAGTTCAGTTCAGCTGAGTTCAGTCAGTCAATGAGAACACAGAGGGTTAAAAAAGGGAAATTTTACATGCTACTCCTTTTTTTTTGTTCCACCGAGTTTACCCTTTGGGTTAATTCGAATTCGATGATTCATGATTCCATAGTTAGGTTTGTTATTGTGGGGATCGAACACACGGTCTTCCTTACTAATTAAGTGTAATACAATAACCACTACACATATAAATTATAAGACACGACTAAAGAGAAGTGTGTGAATAGTGCTAATATAAAAACATGTCAACTAAAAAAATGAGGTAGTAAGTGTTGTGTTCGGTGAAAAGCTGAAATCTGAAGCTGATAGTGTTTAACCGATTTTGAATAGCCAATTATACGGAGTATAAACTGATTTGCTAAGGGCTTGTTTGACATTGTTTTTTGTTTTCAGTTTCTAGTTTTTTTGAAAACCAAACACCAAAAACAGGAAACAAGAAAAAGGTGTTTTCACTTTTCTGTTGTTAGTTTTCAAAATTATCATGATTTTAATAAGTTTGACTAATTTTTTATTCATTATATGATATATATCATATGATTTCAAAAAACAAAAAACCAAAAAACAGAAAACCGTAGTGATGCCAAACGAACCCTAAAGTATTACAGAGTATTAGTTTTTTTTTTATTCATATGAGCCACAAAGGCGGGTACAACGGGGGGCGGGGGAAATTCCAGCATATGCTAGGGGCAAGGATCGATCTCGTAACCTCGAGGTTACGAGATGGGAGTGCTACCATCAAGCCAACTCCACATCCTTAAAAACATGCGTATGATCTTCACAAGATTCGAACATGCAACTTCAAACTCTTATATTAAATGTTTCACCAATAAGCTATGACATATTTTATTACAGAGTATTAGTTTATTGTATTCAATGAATTGGTATATAAAAAATGATTAAAGTTGTTTAAGTATGTGAAATGACCAATAAGTTACTCCGTATTTACCAAACATAGCACCGTGCAATTTGAAGAATAGCAAAATGCCCTTGTTAGGTTATTACTCCGTACAAAAAAATAAAATAAAAAAAACCAATATCTAAAGCTTCACTTAAATCATATGGATTGGAGTGTATGAACTCTGAAAATGTTTGATCCACCTGCTAGTTACTGGGTAAGCTGCTAAATTATCATATGCTGCAATTCTTTTTTTGTGGATAGATTATATTTTTCCAGAAATGGAAATTGTAGATGCACACCAAGTGTTTGATAAAAAGTAGTGACCTTTAGAAATTTTTAAATTATATTCAGAATCTTGCACAACTTTGAACCAATCTATGTATTGAACTATTATTTTTCTATTTGTGCCTCTAATCATCTGTTCTTCAACAGCATCAAATATTCAACCTTGTATTTGATTACAGAGCATTGGAAACTTTGGAGGATCTCATTGCTTCATAAATTCAAAGGATTGCAGGTTTATTGAACAACCCATTTGTTGTTTTTGTATTATCTATATTTCCCATTTTTCCAAATCTTTTATATTTGAGAAATTGGATCTTTATTAATTGGAAATTTTGATATTGATCACAATGTTAATAGAGCTTATAGAGGAATTGAATTCGAATCGAACCACTTTCGAGGATATCCCATCTTCAATTATGTGTGATATTTTGTCAAGACTCCCAACTAAGGCTTGCCTGAATTGTAAGCTTGTTCGCAAAGATTGGTATAAGATCATTACTGGTTCTGAGTTCGCTTGTTTTCGTTCTTCTTGTTCGTATTTCTTTGTCTTGCTTTATGGTAAGCTGCATAACAACAGGAAAGATTTTTTACTGCTTGACTTAGACAAATCCTCAAAGGTTGATGAGATGGGAAACCTTGATATTAGTGATGATTCATTGATTAGGTTCAAATCTATAATTAACATCCCGCATGATGAATTGTATGTTGTTAATGAATGCAATGGGGTTATCTGTTTAAAGTCTTGGGGGCAATGGAGTCCGTACATTGTATGTAATCTCTTAACTAGCGAACAGGTGATTGTTGAGCAATTTCGTGAGCCGTCTTGTTCAGTTGAGGTTTATGGGTTGGGCTGCTGCCCTGTGTCGAACCAATTCAAAGTTGTTAGAATACTTAAGACAGTGGAGAGTTATAGGTGTATAGCTGAGATACAGACACTCGGCACCAATAAATGGAGAACTGTTGGTGATGCTCCAACATTTCAGCTCAGGAAGAGTGGGGCTTTCCTTCATGGTTCGCTTCATAGGTACTCTTATAGGGACAATTGTTTATGGTCATTCCATGTTGGAACTGAAAAATTTTCGCTTGTCCCTGTACCAGATGATATGAGGAGAGAGCTCTACACCGAAGTGAGTGTTTTCAATTCTTGCCTGTGTTTCAGTTCTATGTCTGAAAATTGTAGTCAATGTGAAATTTGGCTTATGAAGGAATATGGTGTGAAAGATTCTTGGGTGAAGCAATATGTCTTCCAGGTTGACTCTCATCGTATGCCTCTACTGCAATTGGATACTGGGGAAACACTGGTTTCTTATAGAAATGGTGTTCGTCTTGGAGTATGTGATGGTGAATCTGGAAAATGTAAAAGAGTGCAGGTTCTTGGACTGTCTTCTTACAAAGTGTTGGCATGTGCAAACAAATTTGCAAAGTTTGAGGGTGCATGTAAGTTTTAACCTTCGGTAGATTGGAACTGAAACTCAATAAATGGTTAATGAGCTGTATTACATAGACCATGAACTAAGAAGTGATGCATGTACATTCATTCGTAACATTCCTAACTTGTTCATTTCTCTGATCAAATTAGTGCTGACCAATTTATCAGTTTATGCAGCACAAGGTCTTCCTTCCTAATATGCTGGCATGATAGTCCTGATCTTTTCTCAACTGTTACAGGAAGAGCAATTTGATTACTTTGAGCTTTCTGAAAATGGCATCATCCTCGAATTTTTGCATCTTCAACAAGCAAACAAATCCAGAATGCAAAGATATCTGTCATAAAACCCGGCACCAGCAGAATGAAGTTGCGTTGAAATAAAAGCGCAAACAATCAGTATGGCCTGATAGTTTTGTGATCCAGTTTTTGCAATATTCTCCTAACATCATTGATTTTCATTTTAAATCTCGTTTTAACAGGACATGGTTGATCTGGAAGAACTATTAGATGATTTAGATCTATTTGCATTTGTCATTTTGTCTAATCTTAATGTACTGATATCTTGTAACATAGTATATTCTTTACCTTCTGTGTCATTAAAAAAAAACTGCTGCTGTCAGCAAATGTTTGTAGGATGATGTATATTGAACAAATTTCATTTATACATTCTTTGATTTGTTATAAAATAGAGATACTTGGTCTTTTGCTTCAGACTGCTTGGAATAATTGTTTATAAGACTAAATTTCAACTACATTGATGCTTTCTAAGACTCCTTAGAGAGTCACAAGGGCGGGGTGGGAATCGATCCCAGGATCTTTTGAAATTAGGGGAAGCTCTAACCAATTGAGCTATCCCTCACTCTCATTACTCTCTAATACGTTGTTAAACTCTTACTTATAAAAACTACTCTTTAACCACTTGAGCAGTTGAGCTATTACACTGATGAACGACACTGATAATCAAGATGTATAAAATCAAATACTGGAGTTTAAGTAGAATGAAAAATTTAACATCATCAACAATGAGTTGGATTCCATGAGTTAGATTGCAATTGATGTTGGATGCATACATTAAATCAATTCATTACTTCTCTTCATGAACAATCTACCTAATTAGATCACTATAAAGTTATCACATTTTTGGCAATGATTTCCTAACAATAACTACATTTTAAAATAAATAAATAAATAAATAAAACCTTTATGATTATGCCTTCTTAGGGGTGTAAATGTACTAGTCGAGTAGTAGCTTGTTCATGTACTAATTCATTTAATATAGGTGAATAAAAATCTGTTTAAGCTCAGCTTAGAGCAACTCCAATAGTTGGAAAAAGAGACTAGCTCACAAATATTAAAAATCTTAAGCTAGTAGCTACACCATTGTTGCACATCTTGTTGATTAGCTTTGACAAGCAAATTAGCTTGGCAAATATTTATTAGATAAAAAATATTATTAATTTAAAAATAAATTAATTTACAACTAGTAACAAATAACTTGAATTGTTGTAGTTTAAGAAGTTGATGTGGCATGCCAAGCTATTAAATAAATTAGCCAACGTATTGTAGTTGCTCTTATTTAGTACACTGCTGTATGTTCGCGAACAATTCGTGAACGGCTTATTTATTAAACGAGTTGTTAAATGATAGTTTCTTGAACGATTTGAATAATAAACGAGTTTGTCTTATAAACAAGATTTGTACTTTTGACATTTAAAAAATCTCAAAATTAACTTAATGATTATATCTTAATAGAATGTACCCGTGCTACTGCACGGGATATGTGTGTGTTTAGGGATAAAAATAGTATAAGTGAAAGTTATAATTTTTTTTTCTTTTGGGGTAAAGGAAGTTATGGATGAGTGTTAATTTGGAGTTGTAGCATGTAGTTACTTGGAAGTTATTTTATTAAACTTACATTAAAAAAAAAAAAAGTGCATGAGAATCTAGAGTTGGGGTTTTGGAGTAATGTTGCGAAACAAATTAACAATTGTGAATAAATCAATATTTGTTGCGAGTAATGTGAATCGATCATCCGTATATGTTCCACTTTTCCTTTTTTTTAAAACCCCATTATCGCATAACTTGCACGGCTGCTGGAGACTGGCTGCTTCAATCCTCACGTGACCTATCACGTGCTATTCAGGACCAAACATCCCCTGTTTTCTCTCTCTTCACCTCCTCCCTTTCTCTCTCTAAACCAATTCATCCAACGTCTTCCCTTCAAAACCAACCAATTTTTGAATTGATTTCATTGAATTCGTTGACTCACGCAATTTTCAATCTTTTCTTCACCCTTTTTCAATCACAGAATTTAGTAAGTAATTCTTACTTTTTGCAAATTTCTGGGTTTTTTGTGTTATTTTAGGGTTAATTTCTTTATTATATTTTAATTTACTGCTCATAATACGATAATTTTTATTTTTATATATATTATTTTTTGTGTAATTTTGGTTCATGTTATGTTTAATTATTGTTGCCTTGTTGGGTTTGTACATATTATTGTTTGATCAATTTATTCTGTAATGAAAAATTCATGGGTTTTGCAACTGTATTGATTATGAGTATCATCAATATATAGGTATTTGTTATTTAGGTATATGGGTTATTTTTAGATTGCTGGAATTTATTTATCTTTTTCATTAATTGTTGCATTTGATTTTTTGTTGAAGAAGATGTTTGTGACTTTGTGTATGATGATTTTATGGTGGAGCTAATAAGTTGTCTTCATTGTTGGGAGATGGTAATTAATTTTTATAAGTATGGTGAGGGCTTATGTCTTGAAAGCCTGTGTCTTGTCGTTATGGTCGGTGTTATTTTGTACTCTCTCCGTTTCTGAATGTTGTATATGTTTGCTTTTAGCATAATAGCCGATTAGCCATTGTACATATTTAAAAATATATTGCACTATATAAAATCATGAAAAGATGATATTTTGAAACCAAGTTTGACGTTTCGTGACAAATCTAACTAGATCCCACGTGTGTATGTTTATTATGTAAAAATTGATGAATGCTCATAGTCAAAGTTACTCTCTTTTAATGGTAAGTACGAAGAACATTTATAAACGGAGGAAGTACTATGAAGATATGCTAGTAAAATCGTGATCGAGTACTTTTCCCCTCTAGTAGAACTAAAAGTCGTTTGCATGGATTAGGGATATCTCGGAAAACTTTGTCATATATCTATAAAATTGTACTGCTTATTAATTTATTTCAGAGAGTTTTACATTGTAGGCTTCCTAATATGCTGTTACGGTGTTACCTTGATGGAGTGACAAGACTAGAAATGGCTCAACTATAATTAAGTGTCATTGAGTAAATTCATGCTATGTTGTTAGAAATTAGCATTAGGACAATATAATAATTATATTCGGATGGTAGGTATATATCATAGTGAACCACCTACCTCCTATTGTAGACTTGTAGTTGGCTGGTTTCAACGAATTGCTTGTAAATCTTTAGATGAAATTAAATTAAATTTAAATATTTATAATTTATGCCATAGTTGTCGCTTCTACATCATAGATGGTCTATATTTTGTTATTTATTAATTTAGAGAGTTGATTGTGATGCAGTGGATTTTGGGGTTGATGGAGATGTTGATGGTGAAGTGGTGGGAAGTTCTGCAGATACAGAGGGCAGGGTTGGGGATGAAAATGATATGGGTGGAAGTTCTGTTGAAGGGGGACAGAGCCAAGATGATAAAATGAATGAGGAGTTATCTGAAAAGGAAGTTATCCCTGTCGGGGAACCAATAAATGAGCCTTTTGTGGGGCAAGAGTTTGAGTCAGAGGCGGCTGCTCATGCATTTTACAACACATATGCTACACATGTGGGATTTGTTATACGAGTTAGCAAGTTATCTCGGTCAAGACGTGATGGTACTGCTATTGGCAGAGCCTTGGTTTGTAATAAAGAGGGTTATAGGATGCCCGACAAGCGTGAAAAGGTTGTGAGGCAAAGAGCTGAAACTAGGGTTGGATGTAGGGCAATGATTTTGGTAAGGAAAATGAATTCCGGTAAATGGGTGATCACAAAGTGTGTAAAAGAACACACTCATCCTCTAACGCCAGGAAAGGGGCGAAAAGATCTTATCTTTGAGCAATACCCGGTAAGTTCTTGGCTTCTCGCCTCATCTATTTAATTTTAGGGAAATTCTACATGGTGGCCTCAAGGTTTTAGTTTTTCTACGTGGAAGACGAAGTTTTTTCCAACTCTCTTAAGTGGCCCCAAGGTTTTGAAGAATTATGCATAGTGCCCATTTTTTGATTTTTTGGCTAACTTTTTTAGCTTTTGGTTAGCCATAAGTAAAAAAAAAATAGGGAAATTCTCAATGGTAACACTAAACTTTTTAATTTTCTCAGTGGTAAATTGCAAAAAATTTTATTATCATTGATAAACTTTAATTTATTATAATTTTCAATGGTGAACTTAATGAAGCAATTTAGTTAATATTAAACCATGGTTAACATCTTTTTAGTTAAAATCATAAACCATGGTTAGTTTTATTATTTTTTTAATAATTAACTTAAATTTAAATTTTTTTTTTAAAAAAACCTACCCCCTTCCCCAAACAACATTCACCACGCCGGCGCCGGCAACCCACCCCATGCCCCAACCCATTCCGGCGCCCAACCACCTCCCTGACCGGCGCCTCGGCCTCCCCAGCCCGCCGCGCCTATCCCCTATCCCTGAAACCCACCTCCCTTTTCCCCGAAAACCCTAGAAACCACCCTTGAAATCCCCCATCCGACTAATACCCCACCATCAAAAACGCTAATCGGGCTTTTCCCACCTTCGAAACCGATTGGTTTCAAAAACCACGGCCTTCGTCTCGAAGCAGCGTCGTTGAATTTCACCACAAAAACCGATGATTTTGTACTGATTTTCGCCGGTGATTTTCGATGGTGGTTTGGGTCGTGGGTTTGGGTCCGATTTGGCGAAGGAGAGGGAATTGGGAAATCGGGGAAGGGGAGTCCGAAAGGAGAGGGGTTCCAGGTGTGGTTGCGGATTTCAGGGATAAGGAATGAAAGGCTGGCGAATTTCGGGAGTGGGGGATGAGCGGCTGGCGGTTTTCAGAGGTGAGGGATGAAAGATTGGTGGTTTTCGAGGGTGGAGGGTGAGCGGCTAGTGGTTTTCGGGGGTGGGGGGATGAGCGGCTGGCGGTTTTCAGAGATGAGGGATGGTCGCCGGCGTTAAGGGGTTTGGGTGTCGGCAACGGTGGGTGGAGTCGGCAATGAAGTGCGGTGGCGCTGGCGGAGGGGAGGGGGCTGGGGTTGGCTTGGGCACCAGTGGGTGGGGTTGGGTTTTTTTAATTAAATAAAAATAATTTAATTATTTACAAATATATAAAAACTAACTATGGTTAATGAGTTTAAATTAAAATAAGTATTATCTTTGGTAATCAAAACTTAGGTTTACCAAAGATAATAAAATTTTTTGTAATTCACCACTGAGAAAAGTAAAAAGTATGGTATTACTAAAGAGAATTTCCCAAAAAAATAAGAAAAAATTTAAAAGAAAAAATAAAAAAGAAAACCACCAGCCAGCCACCCACGGTAGCCGGCGACGCGCTGAACCCCCCTCCCCCACGGTAGCCGTACCCACTGCCCCCAACGCCGGTGCGCCTAACCCCTTCCCCGACGGCGCCGGCGTGCCCTGAACCCCCTCCCTCGGCGTCTGCGCCACCCCGACCTCCCTCCCTTCCCCTTCCCTAACCAATCTCGTAACCCTAACCCTAATCCCCACCAATCGAAAACCCCTAAAAGAGGCTGAAAAAGTCCGGCTACCCCTCACACACACGAAACCCTAGCGTTGACCTATTCGAGGTATGGGGGAGGGGCGGCCGGACTTTTCCGGCCAATTTTTGGGGTTTTCGAAGGGTGGAGGTTGGGAATTTGGGTTACGGGTTTGGCCTGTTTAGGATCGGATTACGGTGGTTGGGGAAGGGAGGGTGGTCGAGGTGGCAGTGGGGTTTGGCTAGTGGCTAGGTGGGTGGAGGTTGGGGTTGTGGATGGTGGACGTGGTGGTGGGAGGGTGGTCGTGGGTTTGGGATTTTTTTTTTTAAATTTCCTTTTTTTAATTATTTTAAAATATAATTTAATTACTTTTTAATAAAAAAAAAAAAAGCAAAGGCTAACCATTTTAATTGTAAAGGTTAGCCAAAAATCAAAAAATGAGCACTATGCATAATTCTTCAAAACCTTGGGGCCACTTAAGAGAGTTGGAAAAAACTTCGTCTTCCACGTAGAAACATGAAATTCTTGAGGCCACCATGTAGAATTTCCCTTAATTTTGTTAACATTGCCATTACTTTTTGATTAGCTTATTTTGGTATCATATGATGTAAGAACACCCTAATTAATTCATGTAAGATACATTATTATTATGGTGTTTCAATAAAAAAAATAAAGATACATTATTATGGGGCTATCTAGATATCCTATCTACTGCATGTCATCCATCATCTGTAAGTAGCAATAGTATTATTATCTGAAAGAAACATTTTGGCAATTGGCACTGATTAATATGCTCTCGAAGTAGTTATTCTGTCATGTGCTGAAGTATTCATTTGTTTCAAGGAAGTTTGCTTTCAAAGTTTCAAGTATTCATCTGGTTCAAGGGTTTGCAAAGTTAGAAACAAAGACTTAACTATTTTTTGTAATTTTATTTTTTCTATGGAAATTAGAGGGGGATTTTGTGTGTGTGTGTGTGTGTGGGGGTGGGGGGGGGGGGTGAGGGAGGGAGATGTTTGTTGCTTGATTACCTTCACTTTGTGCTGGATTTTATCAAGATGCATTTTGGTTATTGTTAGCTTTGTCTAGAGTGAGCTAATGTTTGGATGAGAATTGAGCTTGTTCTAACTGTGGCTTTGATTATCTAGCTGGAAGGAGTAGTTTTTCTGTCCCTTGTTTATTTTTCAGAATTGCCTTGAGCAGTCTTGTTTTGAGATTTTTTTTTCCCTTTTACAAGATTGTTTTGAGAGTCTTGAAAGTTAAATGTTATTTGGGATTTGAGGGAGATCAGTATATGGTGTATATGAGATGATGTGGAGTTGTGGACGAAATATTTGGAATGACATGAAATCAGGGGACAGAACTTCTGATTCTGGTTTGGTGGAAGCGTGGAACTAAGAGCAGCATGATAAGTTATAGCATATCCTTTGATAATGGAGTTTGAGATGCCGTTCTCGAAGTTGATTGTTTGAAGGTTGCTGCAGCACTGAAGCAGGCTATGATTGGTCATTATTTGGGAAGTTAGCCATGAATTTGTGGGACTTTGCTAGGAGTTTCAATTTCTTTAATTAGCTTATGTAAAGAAAATTGTGAACGAAGTTAGTATTTCACTGTCTTGGAGAATGAGTGGGAAGTTTAGTGGCAAACTGGTAACTGGTGAGGATATATGGTGGAAGAGGGTCCTAATGAGTAATGAGCTTCTTGTATTCTTGAAGATATCTAATGTAAATGGTTTTCCTTTTCTTCTGTCACATAAACGATAAAATTCATTACTTTTTGTCTGGTGTGGAGATGCATTAGCTATCATAATTGAGGCCTTGAGGCCTGTCTTGTTGCTGTAAATGGTAGGTTCTTAGTTGTATCTGATTTTGAAAGGCCTTTCTGGGAAAATGTTTTTGGAGATATAGAATTGGTTGTGTGGAATAATAGTTTATTTTTTGTGCAACAAAGAACTGTATTGGTGCCATGTTATTTTCTGCAGCAATTTCGAGTGTTATATGCGGAAACCATTTGAGACTGCTACAAGATTTTTCAGATGCCTAGATCAATGCTAGACTCTTGACAGTTGTGTAACTACCAGTGTCCTTGGGTTTATGCCATGTAATTGCCAATAAATCTGTGACAGATGCTGGGCTTCTTTGTTTGGAAGTGTAATTTTGGTATTAAGATACGCTAGAAAGATCTGATGAGGTTTGAACCACAGATTTAATATGCTTGGAACGGTTATGATAGTGTTTTATCTGAAGGCCAGAGCAAGTGTTTTTCATATGGCCATTTTGCTTATTGCTTTATGCTTGTGTGCTGTGTGCCTGTGTTACTTGGAATTGTTTAAATCACTGAACGTGGTGATTATATGGCATCAATTGGATAAGGGTTTATTAACACCTTAACAATCCGATGTAAAGGAGAGAAAAAGGATAGTAAGAGATGGAAGGTGAAGAAAAGTAGGTTTAGCATGAATTAGGATTTGCTTCATGATCTTTATTATGTAGAAAAAAAGAATCTCATATGTCTTGGTGTGAAAATCGGGAAAGCATATGATTTCTGGATGGTTCTTGATATCTTTTTAAGTGGCAGCAACATTAGTTGGATGAGTTTAGAATAAATAAAGACAAGTATGTCAAACTGCTACTACAGTACAGTGTTGCATTCATTTTGGTTGTCTGAACAAAGTAATGCCCCTGAGAAAAGGGGGAAGGGGGAAAGGGAGGGATATTAGAGTTGTGTTTATGGGAGGTGCATTGCTATAATCATATGCAATTTTGGGTTGAGGAGCAATGTATTTTTCATTTCCAAATTCAATTTATGCCATTCTGCTATTTGGGCTTTTTTTTTTTTTTTTTTTTTTTTTGTTCTCCTGCACATGTAGTTGCGCAAGTTATATAGCTATGACAGGTTTTATCTTTTACCTATGCTAAATAGCACAAAAATTTGATGGCCCAATTGTTTTCATATCTTCCATGGCCCATAGGTTTCTAGATTTCTACTTGCTACCAGGAAGCATAGGCTGCCAAATATAAAATGGGTTGTTGCTTTTAAAATACTTCTTTTCTATCTGACAGTTGGCTGTGGTGTTTGATAATCTTAACGTATTTGGGTTCAGTATATATGATCTCTCGGAGGCCTCGTGAAAAGATCAATATTATTGGATGAAATTGTCATGTACTGAATCTTCGTATATTATTTGTCTTTGATAAACCAATCCTCTTTCTTTTTGTCTGCCTTTGTGAGGTGTGAACTGAGTAGAAGTAATAAAAAGGATCCACTAATTAAACTCTGATTCATGTTTGGTGTTTTGATGGCTTCTGATGTTTTTAGTTATTGTTTCATTTCAAGTGTCATGTTTTTGGCTTATGATAAAAATCTTAAGAACTGTTGGGTCTGGGTATGAACTACGAATACTTGTCTCAGTTTCTTAAGAAAGAAAAAACAGAAACTGTTGTGCTTTGTCTAACCATTGAGGTGCTATTTTGCAGAATGAGCATGACAAAATTCGGGAATTATCCCAACAGTTAGCTGTTGAGAAAAAGCGAGCTGCCACATACAAAACGCATCTCGAAATGGTGTTTGAGCACATTGAGGAACATAACCAGAGTCTTTCAAAGAAGATTCAAGATATTGTAGGCAGTGTTAGAGAGTTTGAGTCGAGAGAGAAAGAGAACTGTAGATAGTATTTGTTGCTCTCGTACTTTTACATTGTAGGTGATATCCAAAGATTAAACACATTGGAAATTTGTGTGCAGAAATTCTATGAAATGAGGCTGAAATTGTGTAGTTCTTTTTTTCTTTTTCGAGACCACATGTTTTTTAGAACAGTTGTGTTGATTCTTAAGCTAACAATCATTTTTACAGCATGGATAGCTCGGAACACTTCTGCATCATTATAACTGGTGATTATTGTAAGACTGAGCTCCTCATGCTCCCCTTTTCGATAAAGAAAAATGCATCTTTGTATGTTGTGTATACTGTGTACTTATCGGCCCTTGAATTGCCTGTGAAACTCGAGATCAAACAGAAAAGCAACATTCCTCGAGTTATTTCTAAGCAAACTTTCACTCTATTCACCAAATCCTTTGGTTATTTACTGAGCTAGCTAATTGCAGTGCAACACAATAGCTGAAATAGTGTGGATCAAACACCTTGTAAACCTTAATTGCCTAATTGGTCTATTACTCTTTATTTCTTAGGGCTCCTTCCCAATTTTCCATTATTTGATTGCTATCTGTTCTTTGAAAAAGAAATCAAACATTTTGATAAAACATGATGATCCCAAATATAAGGGATCAAGAAAATGAAGCTTTTTTTTTTTTTTTTTTTTACAAATTTCTACAATGATTTTCAAAAAAATTCTTAATAAATTTTAGGTTGTGATTAAAAATAAATAAATAATAATAATAATAAAAAAAGCTTAAGAAAAACTTTTGTATTTTGCAAATTATAGCCATTTAAAGTTAGTATTTTGCAAATTGCAGCCATTTAAAAAAAATTGCAAATTGCAACCCAAAAATTCTTATAAATCGTAAATTACAGCTAATTTGACTTTTTCATCGATTTACGTGTTAAAAAATATTCGATTAAGTTTTGAGAGGCCATTTTAGGCCTTAAGATACCGATTTAAGTTCAAAATTAGCAAAAAAAAAAAAAAAAAAAAGAAAAAAAAAAGGAAAGTAAGTAATACCTTTTTACTTAAAAAAAAAAAAAAATTCTTACACCACCTTTTCCTTGGTGAATTTGTTCACTCTTCAGTCTTGTGTGAATTTGTTCTTCCACCTTACCTCTCTATTCTCTTCCTCTATATTTCTTTTCTAGTTTTCTGCATTGATACTTCCTGAGAAGCCGAAAGACTTGAAATTTTCATTCTTGTACTAAAGTAAGTTACCAATCTCTTACAATTATGCTTCTTATTACTCCATTAACATCTTTTAGCTTTTTTAATTTTATCATCTTCACTGCGCATCTATAATTTTAACCATGTTTGATTTTCTTCTAATACTTTAATTTACATGGGTTTTTTAGAATAATTACCCAAATCTTATTAACTCTGGATAATCTAAATTCTGGGTATCATAAATTTGCAATTATGGAATTCGTATATGTAAAAGTAGTTAAATGTGGGTATTAATGTATTATCACCCAAAAAAAAAGGTGTGAAAAATGTATACTTTGAATATATTTGTTGGTTTTCTTTGATTTAGTACTTTACTCATTTCTTACACAAATTCACTGCCATTTTTTCAATTATAATCCAATTATTGGTTATTTTTGTGATAATTTTATCAATCATGTGCAATCCTATAAATGTCCTTTACTAATTTTGGGGTTTAGTTGCATGGTTGAGTGCAATTCAAATTCTTAATTTTATGATTACTTGATAGTGGAATCCGATGAAGAAGCTGGTGAGTTTGAGAATTCAGCTAGGGAATCATTGGATATAGGTGTAGGAGATGGCGTCGTTGAGCCATATGAAGGTATGGAGTTTGATTCTGAAGAGGCAGCTAAGGTTTTCTATGATGAGTATGCTAGGAAAGTAGGATTTGTCATGCGAGTGATGTCATGTCGTCGTTCAGAGGTTGATGGGAGGATATTGGCCCGTCGTTTTGGATGTAATAAAGAGGGATATTGTTTAAGCATTCGTGGGAAACTTGGTCAGGTCAGGAAACCAAGGGCTAGCACCCGAGGGGGTTGCAAGGCCATGATTCTTGTGAAATTAGATAAGTTGGGGAAATGGGTTGTCACGAGGTTTGTTAGAGATCACAATCATCCATTGGTGGTTTCTGCAAGGGAAGCTCGGAAAAAAATGGTGAGTTTTTGCATATAGGTTAACATTTTGTTTACTTTTTAAGTATGGTGGTGAAAAATGTTTGCACTGAGTGTCTAGACTAATGTGCTGTGATGGATGGCTCTGTTGTTTCTTATTCTTTCTTTGTGAGCTGCATTTGAAATCATGAATGCTTGTGTCATGTTGCTCTTGTAGATATGATTTTATTCATTTGGCATATACAGAGTATTTTAGAAGATGATATATCTTACACTAGCTCATGCTTTGTGAATTCTGTTTATGTAGTCTAAGTTCTTGTGTGTTGATTTTGCTGAACTTCTGATTAGTAAGTGTAATTATCACTTAAATTGCAAGAGGTAGGTTGAGTCCATGTGATTTGACAATGATTTGGGTTTTCCCATTTTCATTTTAGCCACAACTTTAATGACATAATAAGTTTGGGATTTGAGGATGTACTGCTAAACAAAGTTTTAGTGAAACTAATCGCTGTATTATTAATGCAAGCATCTTGTGTGATTCTCTTCGGAGAATCTGTGCTTTCCTTGATTACAACATAGAACAACCATTGTGTACATTGTATCCTAATATATGCTCTTCATTATTGAGTACGATTTCACTGGTTGGCTAAATGCTACAATGAGTTATGCGGTTATGCCTGATGCTGTTCTTATTAAAATTTGATTTTGCTGGTAAAAAATAGGGTATCTTATGCTTTTTCTACGGTTGCTTGTAGGATGATAAAGATAAGAAGATTCAGGAGTTGACTGCAGAGTTAAGGAATGAAAAACGTTTATGCACCTTGTACCAAGAACAATTGTTTGCTTTTATGAAAGATGTTGAAGATCACAATGCCCAGATAAGTAAGAAAGTTCAAGCTGTTCTTATCAATCTTAAAGAAATTGAGAATCAAGAACCAAAGCCTTAGCAACTGTGAGCAGTATTAATCTTGAAGATGGTAAGCTATACATGCATCAATCCACTTCTCTTGTCTTAATAGTTTTTATTCTTCCTTTTTGACATTGCATCAAGGTATTGAATACTTGTATACTTCTCTATAGCTCTGTTACTCATACTAGTCATTTTACCTCATTTACCAAAGTTGGATCCTCAACACTTGGTTATTCGTATACTCAACTTTTCGTTTTCATTTTGGAAATTGATATGGTTTTATTATTATTATTTTCAAAAAATGAAATAGCCTAATACCAAGTTGATTCAAGTGTCTGACAAGTCAAACCAGTACGGTTCAACTCTTAAATTGCCAAATGGAAGATGAAATAGTCTTTCAGATTCACATAATCCAAAAGATCCATTACTGTTGCTGTGTTGCATATCTGTGTATTCTAACGTTGTGACCATCTATGTTGACTGACACCAAATACTTTTGAGTTTAACTATAGAGTACTTAGTCTTGTGCTCCAAATGGTGAGTGGTCTCCGAGCTAGTTGATTGATAAGGGCTTGTGTGCTATTATTAGGACAAATTGATTGAATAACCTGCGTTTGCTATCTTGTTAATGTAGATGTAGAGATTAGAAAGTCTGGGATGGTTCAAGACCTTCAGGTGCATAACAATCAGCTGATAATCCGGCATCCCCCACCTTGGTGATTAAGTGCCAAGATGTTATTGGTGGTAGAGTGATGCTGCAAATTTGTGAGGTGATTAGGTGAAGATATGAAAGTTGAAGGCAAGTTATATGAATATATGTATTCTTATATAAATCTTGCAGAATAGGTATTCTTTAATGATGTTGCAGTATATAATTTCAGATTCACTCTGTTGGTGCCCTTTGGCGTGTTTATCTGTAAATAATACTCCCTTAGATAAATATTATATACTCCGTACATCTTACATAGTTACATGGAGTACTAAATTTGAATATTGTAAAAAAGTTGCCGCCTTTCCAAAAATAATACTCATAGATTATGAATGGTTTCCCATGATATAGAGGAGGTGGGTGGGATTCGACTTGTATACTTTGTTTGAGTTGTATCCTATGTTAAACTTGCAATTTTTACGAATTATGATGATGAGAAGACACATTTCCAGATTATGGATTATCTTTGATTCTTTTTTTATGCTAAGCATGAAACACCATGAGAAGTAGGAGTTGAGATTTGAATAATGAGTTGCTCATGGGTTAATGACCTAAGTTTTTGGTATGTGTTGGCTCATTGCCAAATTCATCTTATGCATCACTGCGCCATTTGCTCGACTATGTAATAAATGTAGGGTTTTGATTGTTGTAGATGTTAACTAGCTTAGTTGCTAAAGATGTATTTTATAAAGTGGTATCAGAAGCCAAAACTTTTTGGCTCTATAGCCTAATGCTACAAGGTCTTGGGCAACATTTTGGTTAGAAAAGGAATCAGAGAGAAGAAAGAGACATAAATTTGCGTAAATATTTCAACCAAGAGAAAATTAGCCAAAATTTGGGCTTTCTAATTATTGCTATTCATCTATATATACATTGTACTTTTGGCGTGAGGTTTGAAACATAGTGAAGATTATGAAAGTTTAATTATATTAGTTACATGAACATTAAATGAAGAAAACAATAAAGAAGAAAGGGAGTCAAGGGCTCAAGGCAATGACAATTATACATCTGTTTTCCTTTATATGCTTCACTTTAATTGATACTCGTACATTTACAAGTACACAATTTTGACCATTAATATCTAAATGTATTTCAGTAAAATGTAATTCTTAGAAACCCTTTGATTTAATGGAAGCATAGAAAAAATTAAAGCTTTTATTTCTGAATGGAGGAAAATTTAGTAAATTACCATGCCTCAAAAGCACTCAACTCTTCCAAATGTCAAACATAAAATTTAAATCCCATACATTGGCAAGTTTGTACTAAAATTTGGCACCCTGAACAAAAATTCATAAGTAGCTCTTTTCAGTTGGACATATATATAATATAATACAGTATATTTACAAAAATTACATTTTGTGCAATCTAACTATCTCAGGGACCGTAAAGCTCGGGAACTTCTATTAATTGCTATTGAAAATAAATAAGATTGAGAATATTTAGCTATCTAAACACTCTTCAAGAAAAAAAGATTGAGAATATTTAGCTATCTCAAAAGACTCTTCAAGAAAAAAAGATTTGAGTTTTTCATGATGGGATCATAGCCCATATGATCAGATCTCTTGACTCCATTCTGGTAAAACGGGTACATCTGAATTTCTGATTGCTCGTGAATTAGATAAATGGTGATTTTCTGTCAAAGGAAGTAGCTTTCCTTCAAATAAGCTGTTTGTGATCCATCTTGCTGGCTGCAACAAGCACACCACAAGCAAAATGACATGAGTTAGTAATAAATTCAAAGGCGGATAGAATATTAGACATTGTATCAGGCATGGTAAACTAACACCAACCATAAAAGAAAGTTTCTGCTCAGAGGCACATCTCTTCAGGAGACGGGTTGCACGATTTTCATCCTCAGCAACAACAGCACCAAGAGAAATCTTCTTTTTCTGTAAGCTCTGAACCAACCATTGTAGGCTTTTGTACACTTGACCTCGTCCATGCTGAAATTGTATAAGAAGCAGAAGTTGAGTCAGACTGAAGGTTAACTTGACAGCGTACAAGAAACACAAAAGACCATTTACTGAGGCATGTGTTTACTCTCCAATCTACCATTCAATTCCTCTAATAAGAAAGAAATTAGAATGATTTCATGATACGAAGTATTAGATAACAAGCTGCAAACAGATTTCACGCATGCTTTTGATTAAAAAAGATCTCTGGATCATATCAAAGTGGTATCACTGCTCAGGACAAGAACAGAGGAGGAAACAATGCTGGGGATCATACTGCAAGTTTGAGGTTTCAGATTTTTTTAGTAATTGTGATGCTCTGAGTCCTATTTACTTTACAGAATGATATCATGTAAATATGAACAAGAATTATGACTTAAAATCTATGAAAAATGATTACAAATTAAAAGTTATTAAACACTCAGAAAAGAAAAGACAACACGAGGGTCACTAGTTAGATATACAACACCATGCCAACCCAGTATATTTATTGCTATTGCATACTACAAAGAGAACTTTTACCTTGATAACTCTAGCAAACTTGGTACAGAAACTAGGAGTTCCATGCAGCATAATTCCAACTTTGTCAAAGATGTAATCATTGTCATTTTGACTAATTGATTTCCCGATTTGGTTCTGCATCCTATTATTAGATAATATTATGTATCTGTCAATACAGCAAAACAAGCGTGAGAGTTACAAAACTATCGTTCAAAATAAGGAACATAAAATGTACAGATATTAATAGGTGTTCGGGTCCAATTTATCTAATTGGGCCTAGTCATTTATTTGGGTCCAATTATCTCATTGAGCCTGGTCATTAAATGATCCAATATTCCAAGGTCAAGGCCCGAGCCTCCAATCAAGCCGAGTCAGCCAGGAGTCCTTTGGTCCGAATTGCTATGATCAGCCCATGACTATTTAAGGGCCCAATTACTCTCCTCTCCTCATATGCAAAGGTATATAAGCCTTCAATTTATTCATTTATGACATATACACAAAAGCCTCAAGCATAAAATCTCTTGCATAGCTTCCTCTCTAAATACACTGTTTGATTTCGGCATCGGAGGGGTCTTCCTCGGATCCACCCCCGAGGCCAGTTTACGTGTGTTTGCTGTGCAGGAAACCTTTGGCCCAGCATCCATTGGACCGGATCAGTCTTCGTCCACTTCATCGGACCTTCGGCAAGGTCCCATTGTTTTCATCCGAAACAATTTGGCGCCGTCTGTGGGGAAGACTTTCAAAAATCTTTAAGCCAATCAAAATCATCTTGCAATCATCTTAGTAGCAATGGCTAAGAACCGCAAGAACAAAAACCTACGACAAGGAGCAGGCGAAAGGCCTAAAACTCCTACGCCATCACCTTCGCCGGACCGGAACTCTTCCAAGGGTCCTAGTTCGGAGGGAGGATCATACCGGGAGGATTCCCTTTCTCCCGTAATTCACAACTCTCATCATAGACCGAGTCCACCTCGGTCTAACAGAGGTCAGTCCGATCATAGGACTCAATCAGTGCCCCAAAGGCAACATTTGACCATCCACTCTCACTCTCACACTCAGCCGAGGACCCCTTTGATGGGGCCCAGTTCGGAGGAAGTGGCGAGAGCGCTGGCGGTGCTCATGGAGGCAATGAGGGCACAAAATATGCCTCCACCTCGTGATCGAACTCCTCCGCATACCAGGCATTAGCGGAGGAAGCTAGACCATGATGGGGGGAAGCCTCCCTCCTTCCGGGAGCTGGAAGAGTGGGAAGAGGATACTTGAAGAACTGAAAGAGAGAGGAAAAAGAACCCTCAATTTTTCAAAGGATCCTCAACCTCTCGGCCAGAAACGCATAAGAGCAGCAGCTCAGCCTCTCGGCCAGAATCTGCCCGTCGAGAGCAACCTGAGACTGTCCGCCGAAGCGTACTCGACCGACTCGGCGGCAGGGAGCCGAGTGTGCACAGCCGCCTCTCGTTCCGCCCAGACTTCCCAGCCAGGGACGAAAACCACTCCTACCTCCCTTGGAGGGCGGAGCGCGGTCCCTTCGGCCACGAACAAAGGCAAGGCCGTTATGCTACCCACCAGTTCCCCATTCGAGCAATGGATTCTGGAAGAGCATGTGCCCACGGTTAAAATACCGTCGCACATCACATATGATGGGATTTCGGATCCGAAGGATCATATCGCAAATTCTCCACGGCAAACCGCTGAGAGAAGACCACTGCTGCGCTCATGGGCCTGCAGCAAGGGGAGACCGAGAGTCTCCGGGACGGACTACCTGACCCGTTTCAACAACGAGTCATCCAGCGTCTCTCAGCTGGACCAAGGGCTAGCTGTTTTTGCAATGCAGAATGGCCTTCAGCCTGGGAAGTTCCTAGACTTCATGGTCATGCACACCCCGCAGACCTTAGAGGAAGCTCTGAACGCCTCGGATAAATTCATCCGAGCCGAGGAGTGGAACAAAACAAAAGCCCTACCCTAATCTGGGAATGGGAAACAAAAACAACCGTCCGAAGGCCAAGGCCAGAAGACGAAAGGAAAGGCGAAAGCCTCGGAGCAATCATCGGCCAACGAGCCGAAGAAGGAAAAATCTGCCCCATTCACAGGCAGATATGAGTCTTACACTCCACTCTCTCTTCCACGAGCCAAAATTTACAGCGTGACGGAGGAGCAGAGTTACAGAAAGCCGAGACCGCTCCCAGAGTGGTATCAGCGAAAAAATAAAAATCAGTGGTGCGAGTTCCATGAATCACCGGGACATAACACCGAGGAATGTATCCAGCTGAAATCGAGGACATGGTCCGGAGGGGATACTTGAAAAAATACATCGCGGATCACAGCGAGAAAAAGGAGGCCGAGAAGTCAGCAAAGGACTCTCGGCAGGACCTTGACTTTCCCCGGAAGAACAGCAAAAATGCGGAGGGAAAATTCTCTCCAATCAATGTTATCTCGGGAGGAATATGTTCTCGGAGGGAGCACAAGCGACACCTCAGGGCTCTGACCCACCGGGTGAACAACGCTGACATTCAGCCTCCCCAATCGCCGGTACCGAACATGACGTTCACAGCCGCCGACTGCCGAGGGGTAACATTCCCTCATGAGGACCCGCTGGTGATCATCGCCACGGTGGGCAACCACGACGTCAACAAGGTTCTTGTTGATGGTGGCAGCGGAGCAAACATTCTGTTCCGAAAGGCCTACAATCAAATTAAGCTGAAGCCCAAGCACCTTACGCCGGTACCCTACCCGGTATCCGGATTCAACGGGGCTTCAACTTATCCAGACGGGAAGGTGACACTTCCTGTCACCATCGGCTGCGACAAGGCAGCCAGGAACGTCATGACGGAATTTCTGGTCATTGATGCTCCTTCAGTGTACAACGTGATCTTCGGGAGACCCATAATTCACG